CAAATATCTGAATATCCGACTGACACTTGGGTGGAGACATTCAGTGACAGTTGTGATTTTAAAACTTAAAGTCTGAATGTCAGGTGGACTCTGGGCTTTGGGTGGACATTTAGTTAGAGCTCTTTCACACAGGCCTACAGACTGTGAGCGCTGACAGGAAGTGGTCCCTACGGGAAAATGTGTGTTCACAGCTTCAAAGTGTACCTGGTTGCAAAGAGGTCTGCGGTGCTATGCTGAAAAACCTCATTGTGATTGCTTTGGTCACTAGCAGGTTAACACAGTTGGCCATAGTTTCCATAGAAGATGCAGACATGTCTGCAAATGCTTGCTTCTGTTTTTCTTCATGAAAACTGTGAGTGACCAAAGAAATCAGCAGGAGGTTTTTGGTGCAGCCCTCTCTTTGCAAGTGATCTCACAAAGTCACAGCCAGAAACCACTGAGGCAGATTTGTCTCTACAAAAACAGATTATCACTCTAGTTCTGTGAACATTGATCAACATCACTTTTTCAGCATCTTTATATTTTTGTTTCATGACAAATAATTTCAGATATATGAAACAAAACAAAAAAAGAAATAAAAACTTTAAAAAAAACTAAATGCAAATAAAAATATTTTTCAGTGCCTTGTAAACACATTTAACTTATTTATGTATTTGATTATCGGTCCTAAGAGCAGGCTTAATATTTTAATCTAATAACAAAAATATCAAAACTGAATGTTTTCATCACAACATTTATTCTTTTCACAGAACAAAAAGCTGAAGTCTAAATGGTTTCATTGTTTTTAGGTTTTCTGTCCAGATGCATCATCGTGTCTGTGGGTTTAGCATCACTCCTAATATCTGCTGTTACAGTCAACATGTGGACAAAAACCAAAGGTGAGAACTTCACAGATGAAACGTTTATACAAGAAAAGCTTTGATAAACTTGCAGGTTAATTATTTCAGCTCTCTTTTGTGATTTTTGTCATTTCAGGAATAAAAACACAGATGGAAGGAAACACTGTGAGTTGAACTCTGTTATAACTTCACAGAGCAAACAACACGTTAGTGATATGTATTCTTTTTTAACTGTGGATGTACAAATGAAAGAAAACAGAATACACAGTTTTAACCATGTTTCAGAAACACTTATAACCTTTTTTTTTGTTACTCCTATTGTTTACTCAGAAATGTGGAGAACTTTGAGACTAAATAATAAATAATTAATAATAAGATAAACCATCAGAGAGCTCATCAAAAGTAGCATTTCAAAGAGAGAATCTAAAGTGTGTAGTATTGTTTTAAACAGGTGCATAATGATGAAGATGATGACACAGTGAACTATGAAAACACTGCAGACTCTCCTGCTTCTGTCAGACTCCACTGATCAACAACTTCAACATCAACTCATCACAAAAATGAATCATAATATCTTTAATATTTCCTGACATTTACTTTTTGATTTTATCTCATATGTAGGAGCAAAATTCTTTTCTTTGTGCACTTAGCTTCAACTATTAAGAAAAATAACTTCAAATAATCATTTATTCCTTTTTCATGAAAATCGATGTATGTACACAGAGGAATCACAGAACAATCCACTCAGCCAATAAAACCCTTTAAGCAAACTGCACAAGAGGTGACAAGTCAGAGAAACAGATCAGGAGAAAAACAGGTGGCAGTGACGTCTAAATGAAGCTTTCTGAAGTGCACACAGTCGTCTTTGGTGACATCTGGTGGACAAAAGTTTGAAGAGCAGCTTGAATCTACAACTGTTTCATCATGATTGCTCACTCTACAGAGCTCAGCTGACAGCTTTTGTGTGATATCATAAACTGTTCTGTTTAAACATATACAGGGTGTGGTCTCTCTTTTCTTGTTACTTCTTGACATTTGTAAACAAAATAAATAAAGAAAAAAACATTCTTCAAATTAATGTACAACACAATCCTATAATAGGTTGGGAATAAAGTTTGTGAGGTCCTACCTCCACGTGTTAAGGAAATAAACCAGTTGACAGGCACATTTATATATAAAATATTATAATGTATGTGTAGTGTATTTTTATGTATGTTTTGACCTGAGATGTAGAATAAATTTACTAATAAATGGGTAAAATAAAATGATAACACACATAAGGTTGTTCTATTTGGTTTTTGTTTGGGAATAAACAGAACCTTCTCTTCCTCGCAGGCTCCATGTCTCTCATTACGTCGCATAAAATCACCAAGACATGTGAAATGTAGTCAAGAGAAAACAAGAAAATGGGAAAGTCAAACTACATTTTTTCTGTGTTTTTAAATGAATCTTCTTTTAATTGAAGAGAGAAAAAAATATTTGACTATCTTCTTATTATTAGAGTAACCTCCAGATCAATGTAAAAATGAAAAACACATACTTGGAGCTTGACAAGAACTGGACAGACTGACCACGTCCTCATCACAGTCACCCAGGGAAGACTGAACCTTAATGAAGACTGAGTGATTACTGATGTGGCACAGATGTGTACATAGTGTACGGGGTTCCTCCTATCAAAAGGTGCCTTCCTCTCTCTCTCTCCCTCTCCCTCGCTTGTTCAGCTGGGATGAGGAGCCACGTTTTGTTGCTCCATATTAAACCATTAACATTATGTGTTACACTTTAGCTGTGATAACTATCATTGTGTTTTGTAGTGCTGTCTCTCTCTGACACCTCACACACACCACAGCATTGCAGTGCTGACCACAGTACAAGTGTGCTTCTATTATTCTCCCCAGTATAACTTCCTGTTCTTTCATCTCCATATAAAACATTGACTCTACTAGTTTAAGCTCCTCTGTTTGTACTGACTGCTGACATTTGTCTAAATAACAAACAAATTCATCTCCTCTCACTGTTCCTATCAGATGATTCCAACTTATACTGACACAATATTAAAACACCTTGAAATTAATGTAATGAATTTGTATTCTAAAAACTGACTGATTTAAATCAACTTTCCACACGTTCAAAATGACGGCGACAATAACGACAGTCACTCTCTCATCAGTGTGTTAACATTTGTCATTTGTGAACATTTAATCAGTCTAACTAATTTTGCAAATTCAAAAAAACGTTCAAAGGTTTACTCGTGTGTGTCATATAATGTGTGTTTTCGAATCCACAGCTCAGCAAAAATAAAATGGTGAGGACTTAAAAGCAGCTCTGTTAGTCCATCAGTGCGTGAATCATTTGTGTTTCTGATGTTTATGTGGTCAACATTAGAGGCTCACACATCCAAAATGTTGCTGCTGTTGTACCCACATTCTCACAGAAATACTTCCCCTTCACTTCTCAGAAAAACTCAGGCCTCAGACTACTAACACATCTTATCTGTTTCCTTATCCAGCTGCTGCAGTGGTGTTTGCTGCAGTATCAACATGTTTCATTGTGGGCATCAACACACATTCTTGTTAAAAGCTCAATTATTCATTTCATGAATGAAGAGAGAGGGAGGACAAAAACATTTGAAGGCTGCAAAACAAATAAATTCAGAACAAGTGATGAAGAGTAAACCACTGATGAGGAAGTGAGCAGGAAGTTGAAGCTGTGTTCATGTCTGAGACTGTCTCATTTGTGAATGTGAGAGCAGAGAGTAGAGACTGACAGACAGAGAAGTACGATGGCTGCAGTCATGTGGATTCAAATGTCTTCTTTCCTGCTGCTGATGCTTCAGATTACAGGTAAGGAAACACAGAACACACACAAACAATAGTCTGTTCTTCCTTTAACTGAGAGAGACGTGTTTGCTTTGTAACTTTGAGTTTTCTGGACTCTTGGAAAGAAAAGATGAGAAATAAATGATGTAAAATAATCCTTAAACTAACTGTTAATCTAACTGCAGTGTTCATGTTATAGTTTGTCACATTTCACTCTCCTGTCCTCAGCAGAAACAACAGGACAGACTTTGTCCTCCTTCAGAGCTGCCAGAGCTGCACATGACATCACTTTGTCTTGTAAAAATGTGATAGATGGTCAACATAACTGCAGCTATACTACCTGGATGTTCACTGATTCAAGACAGACACCAGCAGTAGAGCTGGTTGTTCATGGACAGATTAATGAAAATGTTAAAGCTGAATACACCAGACTGAGTGTTACAGCGAACTGTTCTCTGCTTATAAAGAAGGTACAAGCTGACGATGTTGGTCGTTACACCTGCAGACAGTACAAAACAAGAGGAGGACAAGAAGAAGGTTCAGACTTTACAGTTGATCTGTCTGTTATTAACAGTGAGTATTTACATCATAATGTTTTTAGTTCAAACTTGGAACAAACTGAAATATTACAGCAGTATTTATTACAGTGATGATGCTCTGTTGTTTTTCTCTTTCCATATCTCCATCTTCACCAGTGACTGAACATGAGAACAACAATAAAGTCATTGTGAACTGCTCTGTGCTGACACATGAACAGTGTAGACACACAGTGGAGTGGCTGCATGAGGGTGAAAAGAAAATATCTGACGTGGAGATCAAACCAGGTTCCTGCTCTGTGACTGTGACATTTAAAAGATCTCACCGTGATCAGAAGTTACAGTTTTATAATTCATTGAAGTGCAAAGTGACAGATGATTACACTAAAGAAGAAAAACTGTTTCCCTTCAAACTCAAGTCCTCAGGTGAGAAAACAGGTGAGATTATGTTCAAATCGCTTCACAGTGATGAGCAGACGTGTGTAACTGACATGATTATTAATTATAGCAGCGCTCTACATTATCTGTTTTTGTAAATGTAGTTTACAGGTTTTTTTATTTGAATACTTTTGTTTTATTTTGTTATTTCATTTCTTTCTTTAGGTGAAAACACAAAATCAACGACTGCAAAATTTACCTCAACAACAACAACAACAATGAGAACAACAACAACAACAACAATGAGATCAACAGCAACAATGAGAACAACAACAAAAACAACAATGAGACCAACAACAACAATGAGAACAACAACAATGAGAACAACAACAAAAACAACAATGAGACCAACAACAACAATGAGAACAACAACAATGAGAACAACGAGATCAACAAAATCTCCTCTAGAATCAAAAAAATCCTCACAAGGTAGTGACATCTGGAATTTGCTTTATAGTTCAGACCCTTTAAATTCAAGTTGTCGGGCAATAACCTGTTAAGAATGTGTTCAAATCCCCTCACAGTGATGCTTTGACTGGTTTGATTGTTACATATTGCACCTCTCCACATTATCTATTCTTTTAAAAACAGCTTGGTGTTTTTTTCTTCTTCTTACAATCATTCTTTATTTGATTTTGTAATTACATTTCTTTAGGTGAAGATGTCACAGAGACTAAATCAACACTAAATATCTGAATATCCGACTGACACTTGGGTGGAGACATTCAGTGACAGTTGTGATTTTAAAATTTAAAGTCTGAATGTCAGGTGGACTCTGGGCTTTGGGTGGACATTTAGTTAGAGCTCTTTCACACAGGCCTACAGACTGTGAGCGCTGACAGGAAGAGGTCACTACGGGAAAATGTATGTTCACAGCTTCAAGGTGTACCTTTCTCTTTTCAGGTTTGTTATTATGGCTCATTATCCTTCCCGTTGGTTTATCAGCACTCTTAATAATTGTTGTGGTCATCAGATGGAAGAAACATAAAGGTAAAAGCATCCCCAGATTATAGTTTAACATAATATAACTAATGTTAAGAATGTGAAAATGGTGAATTGAAGAGATTTCTTATTTTGTAGATTGGGATCATTAGCAAACAGGCAAAAAATGGATTTTTAATGTGAAACTAATCGCAGTGGGTTTTTTTTGTTTTTTTTGTTTTTCAGGAAAAGAAGGGCAGCTGGCCGGCAACACTGTGAGTTCAAATAGTTCCATTGTTTCATATGAGATTGAGCTAATAAACTTTTAGAGGTGACTTCATGCCTCTAAATGACTAAATAAATTACAGGATTTACCATCAGAAACAGAACAGCTGACAAAGCTGCAGCTTTGTCTGAGCTGATTCAGCTCCTCACTGAGAATGTTTAACTATTTAAGTAACATTTAGATCTTTACACAGTTACTCTTCTGTTTGTGAGCAGGGACTGAGCTTACATCCTGCAGAGACTCAGTCTGGACCAGGAACCAATCAAACCAGGCTGAGGTTGCACACTAATCTCAGTATAAATTTGCACTAAATATTTGTTTCATTTTAACAGAAAAGTCATGGTTATGATGAGGAGGAGGAACCAGAACTGAACTGTATTAAACCAAACTGACATCACTGAGCAGATGTTATTTTGTCTTCACTGTGTAGGCTGGAGCTGATGATGGTGTTTCTTATGTCTCCATCAGCTTGCCCAAGAGGACCAGGAGTAAAACCCGGGTGAGATTTTTAATATTTGTGGGGATGATGTTAGCAGTAAGACCATGATTTTCAAAGATCCTTATGTCTTGTCTTGCTCTGTAATGTTTTTTTTTGTTCTGTAATGTTTTCCTATAGTCCCGTGGTCATGATGAAGGTGACACTGTGACCTACAGCACAGTGAAAGCTGTCTCCTCTTCTGCTGGAGATGATCCCAACCACCTCTATTCCACCATCAATGATGTAAAGAAGTAGGATGATGCTCATGAAAAGAGATATGGTAGATGCTGTTTCACTTTTTAGATGAGAGAGTGAATGTGAAAAGTCATGGGTTATTTTTTTTTGTCTTACGTATTGGTTGTTTTGAACTAATAACATAATATTGTTTTGGTAAATGGACTTATATAACACTTTTATATAGCTACTCTTTCAGAGCACTCAAAGTGCTTTATACAACAAATTCATTCACCCAAGCAGTTAAGTGCTCCCTATCTAACATTAATACTCATTCACACTCCGATGGAAGCATCGGAGAGCAACATGGGGTTAGTATCTTGCCCAAGAATATTTGGCATGCAGACTGGAGCAGACTGGGATCAAACCACCACCCTTCTGGTTAGTAGCTGACCTGCTCTAACACCTGAGCTACAGACACCAAACTGAAAATCATTTATGTTTCAAAAACAGACATGTTACCACACCTATATATTTCTGTTTTGACCTAAACTGTTTCTGCCAGAGGGGTATGTGTTGACGTTTTATTCCAAGAAACCTTTTCTGTTTGCTGCTGCTCATAAAAGTTTAGCTGATAGCATCCTATCACAGTACATGACATCATTACTGTCTAAGGCGCAGCTTCAAATGCATCCTGAACAGTGCGGACAAAAATTAGAAAGAAGAAAAAGTACTAATAA